ACAGTGCTCCCTACACCTGGAAGAGCAGCCTGACACACTGCAGGAATCACAGAAGCGGAGAGAGTGGATACAGTTTAACTGAAAACATTAGGGGACAAGGTGCTTCCTAAAATATGATCCTTTCCCCAAATACAAAAGAAGAAAAAGTAAAAACTCAAACACCTGTGGAAGGTCAAATCAATACTAGTTTGTTCAAAGGAATGAGTGCATGTCTTCACGGAGTCTTTTTTGTCTTTATTAAATACCAGGAGCCAGGCGTACTGTTGCAGTATACACAGGACTGCCCTCAAGCGGTATATTATTCTCCCCTTCCGTCCACATGTTTACAACCATGAAACACAGAAATGGAGTTCCCTCCCCACTAGAGTAACAGGACAGCCAGCTCTCCCTGCATGAGAACCTGCCCACCTCAGCAAAACTTCTCAAGGTGCGTGCGTGCATGCACGCGCGTGCGCACACACACACACACACACACACACACACGCCAAGAAGAAGACAAGAGGAAAAGGAGGCTCCTGGCCAAGTTTCTTTCCAGAGCTTTCAACCTCCCAATGATGCCAAGTGACAAAGGCCTACAAGAGCTGTCCCTAGGAAGCTCTGCCCTGACATATGCCCTGTCAAGATATGCCTTGTCCTGGGCTGTCCACACACAGGAGGCCTCTCCTTCAAAAAACAACCCCAGGGGCTGGGGTTGGGGCTCAGCGGTAGAGTGCAACCCTAGCACATGGGACGCCCTGGGTTTGCTTCTCAGCACCACATAAAAATAAATAAATAAAATAGAGTATTGTGTCCAACTACAACTAAAAACTAAATATAAAAAAAATTTTTTTTAAAGCAGCCCCAGCACCTGGCCTGGACCCCTCCTTTTGCTAGATCACCTCTTGGTTTCAGTGAGGCAGATGGCAGCAGGTGAAGAGCCAGGGCTGGTGGCCGGTGGCACTGAGTCACACCTGGGTTACAGTGATAATGCCATTACTGAGATCCTGCAGTGGCCAGAGACAAGTGCCTGCTTCTCCCAGATAACCCTGTCCTTTCCCTTTCTTTCCTTTCTCCTTCAGAGAGCAGTGATCAGCCTGATCACCAACCTAATATTAACACAGGAGGGCCATGGGATTTTATCCCGGCCACAGCCATTTCCCTGTACCAAATCAGCTCTAATGCAACCAAGCCTTCAAAGTCATTAAATGCCTTTTAATAAAGGGCCTGCCTGCAGATCTGTTCTTTGGTTAGAGACCAACCAGGGATGCATCTGCCGCTGAGCAGCTGAAGACAACGGTAAAATCAGTAGTGAGGGCAGGGTGGTTAAAAACAGCTTCTGCCTTGATGTGCCTGCAAACTGTCCAGGAGATTGGAATTTCAGAATCTCTACTTTCAGCTTATTCTTGTGCTCACTAAAGTCAGGACAGACTGACTCGGATATCATTGCACCGTCTGCTTATTGATTACCTTTCCGAGGTGCAGTGCCACAAAGAAGAAATTTCAACACTCCAGCAAGAAGCTGCTAGAAACCCTCCCACTCCCACACCCCCACGGGGACCTGCTCTGATGAGCAGGTCCAGAAGAACAGAGAGGGCCCACTGTGTCCTCTGTTATGGGAATCTCTTGTCCTTGCACTGTTCATGACTTCCAAAGTCTCCTCCATCTCTGCCACAGTTGAGCAGCAGCTGGTGACAGAAAGCCAGCGTTCTCTGGAAAGGGGCTCTGGAAAGAAGCTTCCGAGGCCCTCTAAAGGAACAGAAGGCAAACCAGAGTGCCTTCCCTCCCGATGCCCAGGGAGTGGCATTCGGACCAGATCAGCAAGGCAGCCAGGCAGAAGGGAGAAGATGAAACGGCCAGGCAGCAGGGGTCCCGCAGACACTGCCCACGGCTCTCATTCTCGTAGGCCGTAGTGCACAGCAGCCCAGTCATACTCTACAAGTCAGTGGGTCTGTTCTGCTCAGAGGCTGCTGTGACCCAGACGTTTTAGAGTCACCAAATTCTCCAGGCCTCGCCTGGGGCATCAAGCCCTGTCCCTGCTTCCTGGCCCTTGGAGTAACCCCTTCAAGCTTACCCTGTCACCAATGCTGGTCTCCACTCAGTCTCCACTCCTGCTGCAGTCCCACCCCCTACCACCAAATTCAGCTTCCTGCAATGCTGAGTGCACCAGCCTCGCAGGCAGAGCGCTACCACGCCAGGCAAACAGAGCAGGGGCGAGGGCCCAGGCCTGGGATCACAAAATATCCAATATGTGCAGGCTGCCCCATGGCCGAGTGGCTGGAACAGGGAAAAGGTCTGCTGTTTCCGTCCGCGCATTCCTGGAAGTTTACAGTTGTAGAACAAAAACAAATTCATGATTTAAAATAATCTTACAGAGATGGAAAACAGAGTGTGGGAGAAGGATTAGGGAAAGTGGAGGGACCAGGGGTTGCCTAGCCAGGAAAGCAGGATGACGTCCATGGCGATGTGTGGTTCTGATGGGTACATGAATCAGCATGGGACGCGAATGACACAGACGCACCATGTGCATTGTATCAGTGTCGGTGCTCTAGATGTGACAGTACTACAGTTAGGCAATAGGGAGCCATTGCAGGGAGCTGGCAGAGGGGACACAGGGCCTCTCTGTACTGTCTTTGCCATTTCCTGCAACTTTATAATGATTTCAAAATAAAAACTTGAAAATTGGCTTGACCATGGTCTACACCTCATGCTGAGTAGTATGGATGACTGGACGCATCTGAACTGCGAGTCGACACTGCCTGGGAAGGGCAAGAACTGGTCTAAGCTCTGTTTCGTTAACAGGGAGAAAGAAAGCACACCCTTCTTTTAGTTGCCCCTCCAAGCTCCACAGGGAGGTGCCTGTGGCATGGAGGGGAGCTGAGGCTGGAGAAGCGTGCTGAGCCAGAACGAGCTGGTCAGGGCAGGGATATGCAGAGCCGATCTCGCCTGGCTCATTGATCCCCAGCACATCACTCAGCCCTTCTCACGACCTAAAGCAGATGTGAGTGTCCTCAGATTTCAGGTGAGGAGCCCGAGCAGGGTATGTGGCAGCAGATGATTAGAGCCCATGACTCCTCTCTGCACTGGTCACCTCAATTCAGCAATGCCCCAGCCCAGGCTGCCTCCACTCAGGTCACAGGCATCCCATTGCCCCTACCACAAACCAAAACACCACCTCCTTCCTGCCCAGACTCCAAGTGCAGATCCCCTCTCCTGTCTCCTGCTCAGAGGCTCCCTAATTTAGCACGGCCCACACTGGTGGGACAGGTGCCCTTCGCAATAGAGGAAGCATCTGGCTGAGTTCTTGCTGCAAATGATGTGGAGGCCAAGCAAGGGTCCCCATGCACTCCAGCGGTCATTCTTGCCCCATCTGATCTCTCACTTCGGCCCAGAGCTTCCTGGGCTTCTCTTTTCAGGATGAAGGTCTAAATCCTGCAAGTATCCCCCGACTTGGCAAGGTGGAGGGCGCCCTTGGAGACAGACACTCACCTCTGCACCCACGTCCCAGCCTCTTGCACACTCTTGCTCACTGCAGTCACACTCTGCAGCTGGCAGCTCCCCAGTCACACCCACACCCTCCCCTGGGCCTGTTTGTACATTCAGCCCCTTCACCTACCATGCTCTTCCCCACATCTACCCCTTCACTCTGTCTACCTGCCTCCTTTCACCAGGGCATCTCCAGATCATCCTTCAGGTCTACACTTAACTGGCACTTCCTCAGAGTCCTCCCTGGCCCACCAGGAGAGGGTGATAAGCCCTACATAGGTGCTCCATGCTCCAGGGCCCCCCACGCTTCCCCCAAGATGATCCTATTCATCATTACCTCCTGCTTGCTGGTCTGCACTGCCGCGCACAGCATCTGGCACAAGTAGGCACACAGTAAATGTCTGTCTAAGTAATGAATCTCTGATGAGGAAACCAACATGACTTCCTACGGCCACATTCTCAGGTGGGAAGCTGGGATGGGAACTCAGGGATTGTCCTGCTCTGGGGGCTGTGAGCTCTCTACCTTAGTCAAAGACAGGGAGAAGGACGAGCCCTCCAGCCTTTATTTCTGATCTTGCCCCAACACAGACAGAGCCAAGGGCAGGCCAGGACACAAGTGCATGGCTCTGCTTGGTGGCTCACTGGATGCTGGAAACATACCCAGAGCCACATTAAGAGCAGTTTCCTCAGCAAACGAGTGGGCATGGGCTGCTCCTGAGGATGCCCTCCAGGGCAGGGGGAGCTGATGGAACCCTCGGGAGTAGGGGCAGTGGGCTTGGCAGCAACAGGAAGAAGCTGTGCAGCTTCGGGCTCAGTTTGGCAATTTATCGAGCTCTTCAAGTTGATGCATTATTATTAGTTTGCATATTTCTAATGTGCCCTCTAGTTATTAACAGTGATATAATGCCAACTGAGAAAACCAAGGGACCTCAGAAATATTTACATAGCAGCATAATTAAGACTAAGAGCTGAGTCGCCAAAGGATCCCACTGATTTTCTGGGAGAGAAAAAATAGGACATTCTGACTTCACTCCCTGCCCAGAGACCCTCCCTGAAGTTGGGGCTGGGCAGAAGCCCCCTGTGCCTCTCCTGTGACCACTGGGGACCATCAGGGCAGGACACCTCTGGGAGATGCATAACTGCTTCCCCTCAGAAGACTCAGCCCAGACCTTCAAAGTGGTACAGTGGGAGTTGATGGGTAGGAGCACCCAGCTCTGAAGTCCTCAGCCACAACAATGCCCCCAGGGAGTCCTCAACAGAAAGGCTGAAGGGCCCTTGGACTGAGAAGGCTCTCACTGAGGAGCAGCAAAGCCCCTCCCAGCCTCAGTCCTGGCCCTGAGCAGCAGAGCCTCCCGCTGAGCAAGCCCTGCAGCCAGACCCAGGGGCAGAGCAGAGGCTGCCCTCTCCCTCTAACAGGCAAGGCCCTTACTCAGTTGTGTCTCACAGCCTCTTTGTCAACACTCTCTGCCCCTCCTTCCATCCAGAATTCCATTCTGCATCAGAAAACTTCAGGTTGGTTCCAATAAGCTCAACCACCATTTTGTCATGAGTATCTTTTAAGATAAAAAAGGAAGTATGTTTTACAAGTGTTTGGGGTCCACTGATGAATACAGTGGAATATTATTCAGCCATGAGAAGGAACACAGATGGACCTGGAAACCATTATGCTGAGTGAAAGATGCCAGCCACAAAGTCAAACACGGTGCCACTGCATTAATAGGAAGTGAGAGGGGAGGCAGCTCCTTGCAGAGAGGAGGCAGATGTGGTAGTCTCAAGGCTGGAGAGGCGGCGGCCCTGGGGCGGTGGCCAAGGGCAAGAGGGTTCTCTTGGTTGATGAAATGCTCTGTAAATGACGGAGGGGATGGCTGCACCATTCTGCGCATAGAGAAAAACCACAGATCAGTACACTTAAAATGGGTAAACAGGATGGTGTGGAGATTGAACTGTGATTTAAGGCACAAAAAACTATTGGGGGGGGATCCCTGTTATTCCTTGTGGGGCCTCGGAAGGCAGTGTCATCAAGGTCCACCTGCAGAGGCATGGGACAGCCTGCAGCACTGCAAGCCTGGTCCCTGCCCTCTCCCAAGGCTTCCCCCTCTCCCCTTCAGCCCACACTCACAAGCTTGCTCTTGACATAGGAAGCTGCTGCTTCAAGCCCCAGGAAGATCCCAAGACTGGAAATCTACATTCCACAGGACACAACAAGCAGTAACTAATGCCAGACACGCGGCATCGAGCTTGCAATAAATGTCATCCTGTTTGGCTTCTGAAAGGGTCTCTGATATGCAGTTAATGCCGCATTCAGGCTCCATCCAGCCTCCATCACAGGCGATATGCAAATGCGGCTTTTGTCACAACCGGCACTAACTCTAATAACTCCCAAAGTGAAAATGTTCCCATAAAAACCACCATAAAAAGTCCCTTATTTTATTGCCAGCTAAGTTTTCTTTACTTGTTGTCAGGACTTTCTCCTCACTGCTGATTAGCTAACGGGCGGCACGTCATTTCTTTTCCTTTACAGAAACCAGGGCACAGAGTCACCAACCTGTCCCCCCTCCATCTGGAGCCGCCTTGCTTCAGCTGCCACAGCTGCCCAGCCCCCTCTGAGCCAGAGGGGCTTATAAACCACATTTACCTTCCCCGACCGGTGGCGGAAACGCATTACCTTTGCTCTGCTGGTTGCACGCCATGGTCAAATGGGAATATAAAAATCAGCCTTATTTATAACGACGGAATGCCTCTGCTGCTCGGGTTAGAACTGGCTGTCCCCTTGACACATACCACACATACAGAGGCAAGTGAAAACACACACATGCATAAAAGGCACACACGAAGGCACACACTCACACATGTGCACACACAGGCACACAGAAACACATACATTCTTGGATGTGTGCATACACTCACACGATGCTGCTTTTTCTGAAGTGGCTCTCACGTACATCCCATACAAAAGGGCACCCACCCGTCAGGCTCTCCCAGGTAGCCAGGCCTCTCAGTGCCTTAATCGAGACACCTCCCTCTCTGTCTCGAAACACCACACACCAGGTCTCCCAGATAGACCGGACCTCTCTAAATCTCAACCTGCCACTCTGTGATTCTTGAAAGAGGGCTGCAGAAACCCTTTAACAGGACACAAAACATGCCCCTGCCTCCATCCACAAGGGTATCGAAATCTCTTGGTCCTCCTTCCAGATAATTCCTGGTAGCATCCCAAATGCAAGACACACTGATTGCTGCTTCCTGCAAAGAGGCCCTGTGGAGAGATGCTACCAGGCCTCCTTGCACCGATTTCCCTCTAAGCAACAAGGTCTCCAATGAAATGCAAGACTAAAGTATAGTCCAGGCTCTATGATGTCTCCCAGGTTCATGCAGATGGGGCACATGCAGTATGCTGCGCCTCTACCCAGGGCACCCAGGATGCTGCACTTCTATCCAGACACCCAGGATTCTGCACCCTACCTGAACCCTATCAGAACCTAGAACACTGCACCTATGCAGTTAGTCTTGGGATAAACTCAAGGATGAAGTAGGCATCTGAGCCTTTATGAGGACCCGCCATCCCCCAGGAGACACTGGGAACGTGACCCATGTGGAGCAAGGACCCTGGACCCTCTCTCCCTTTAACAAGGTCAGGAACCAGGCCTGCACCCCCATTCCTCTGCTCTGCCTGGCCGCCAAGCCAGTGAGGGCGCCCCCGCCTACCAGGCTGGGGACCACAGCCTGCCAATCAGGCCTAGGGAAGGGTTGGAGAGCCAGGCAGGTAAATCCGAGTGCAGGCCCCCCAGCCCCTTCTCCTCCCTGCCGCCGATTCCTTTACGTGGGGTTTTAAAGGTCATGTTCTCCGTCAGTGGAAACATTCTACATGACACTTCTGAGGCAGTGACTCCTTTTAGAGGCATTTAATCCAAGAACAGCCACCCCCTGAAGAAAAGGGTTTATAGGTCACCGCTCAGGTGGCCTACAAATCATGCTGGCTCCAGCGGAGGGTGCCAGACACGAGAGGAAGCGGGTGGGGAAAAGCTGGAGGAACCTCAGCCAAAGGGGAATACAGCCCAGAGCAATGAAGGGTGGGTCCAGAGGGGCCAAAAGGGGCAGGAAAGGCAGGGCCACCAGGGAAGGGAGGAGCCTGCTGGGGAGGGGCCAGGTGGAAAGGGCCCACCAAAGGGGTGCAGGCTGGGGGGAGGACTCACAGGCAGGAGGAGGCAGGCACCTTCCTCCCCACCCTAGGGCCCACCTGCCAGCAAGGACTAGCTGACCTGGGTGGGGTGAAGCACAGTCTGAGAGTAGGGATTTGGAGAGGGTCCCCCAGCTGGGCAGAGTGGGAGACCAGAGTACGGTTTGCCAGAAGTCCTCTGCCCAGGTCTCACTGTGCTATGTACCCCACACACACATACACACACATGCACACACACACACACACCCCAGCTCAAAGCATACTTGTGTGATGAATAAATCCAGGTGTCTTGGCAGAGGCCGGATGCTCCAACAACACCTGAGACACCAGGCCTCTGGGGTGGGAGGGGTGCTGCCAGATGCTGGGAGCACCAGCCTAGGGAGGGTGAGGATTTGACAGCTGGGCAGGAGACTCCCATCCTGGGAGACCTGGACCAGCCACTAAGGGGTACACACAGCCCCCCACCCTCCCTTCCCTGGAAAAGGGGTTTTACTGCAACAACCAGAGAGCTCCACCCCCTGCAGGCTGCCAGGGAACCCAGCCAGCCCCCACCTTCTCCCACCCTAGAGGCTGGGTGCTGTTCCAGAGCACCCAGCTTCCAAACGTCCAAGCCAGGCTGGCCTCATGGTATTTATGTCCTGTAGAGGCTGAGAATGAATGGGCTTAGATCAATTCAATCAATCCCCTCAAAATGTTAAAAACCTAAGAAAGGTCACTGCCAGTGAATATTCCTTTCAGAAGCATCTCCCTCTCCCGCTCCCCACAACCTCCAGCACTGTGTCAAGGAGATGTTGCGGAGAGTGCTGGGCCCTTCTGCCCCTCAGCCCCACAGCCCAGGCCCAGGCAGACCACAGGAGGCAGAGCAGGAACACCCAGCTCTGAGCAGGCCACACACACCTTCTTGTCCACCCAGCACTCATCCTGTGCACAGTCCTGATGGGTGACAGGTTACAAGGCCAGGCATGTGAATGGGGGGAGGTATGTCCTGCAGACTGAAGACTGAGGCTGAGCTCTCCCAGGAGACGGTCCTCCAGCTCCGGCTGCCTAGGCCTCAGCATTCCGAAAGCTCATCCTGCCAGGATGTTCATTCTGTGAGCTACTCAGAGCCTCACAATAGAATCCTCACAATTCCAATTTTTGCTTAATTTAACCAGAGTTGATTTCTGAGGCTTACAACAAAGGAGCCATAACTGCATCACAGCCCCAGCACTTTTTCCAAACCTTGCTAAATTCAGACAAGTTAAGAAAAGCAAGAGTGAAATGAGAATTCCAAAAACTGCCCTAGAATCACTACCTACAATCAGATGGGCTGATCTACAAAATCGCCTTAAGCAGATGTTTCCACCCCAGACTACCTGGGTCTAAAATCCCAGTTCTCCCACTTACCAACTACGTGATATTGAGAGGTTACATAACCTCTCTGGCCTCCAGTGCCTCACCTATAACTTGCAGATAACAGATCTAACTGTTCTCGCAGGGCTATTGTGAAGACTAAATATGGCATATAGAGAAAGGGCTTGAAGTGAAACCTGCACATAGTCAGTACTCTGTACCTGGGAAAGTCAAGCAGATTAAATCATCCGCTGGTCCTTCCTGTACATGCATCATTTATTCAGCACCCACTGTGGGCCCAGCACTGCCCTAGGCCCGTCGACACACAAGCATAGTGGACCTGGCCCCCAGAAGTCCCTGTAGAGCTGGAGAGACAGACTTGTAAACACATAAATCCTTTTGCGTCTGATGTGATAAGACTATTCTGGAGGTATCCACAGAGTGCGGTGGGAGCACAGGGAGGAGTGATTAATTTTGCTTTGAGGGTTGGGGAGTCTTTGCAGAGGAGGTGACATTTGAGCTGGACTTTGAAAGACGAGCTCTCCACAGAACTAAATCTGGATCCAGTGCCAAGAGAGTCAGCTTCAAAAATCAATCCTGCCACCGGAGGAGGGGCAGCCAGCCACAGGCCAGCTTCTCAACAGCTCCCTGCGCCAAGGATGCCAGCTCCCCCAGGCCACGAGTGCCCAGACGCTCCCTGGAGACCAGACCAGGTTTTTTGGCCTCATTTTCCAATCATCTGACCCCATCTCCTCACCCCTAACTTAAGAGCTGTCAGTTCCAGGCAGACTCTCTGGTCACTACTCCTTAAATGAAACTTACAAATTCTTCCACTAAGAATAATCATGGTCACTTTAAAATTACATCCTTTGTAGAATGCTTTAGATCTCTCATGAGGGAAGAGAAAAAATAGTGGTCACACACAGAACTTCATCCCAGCTCTGCAGCCAACTCTGGTGACCTGGGGCTGGTGATTTAATTTCTCAGGACTCAATTTCCTCATCTCTACCATGGAGTAAACAAGTTGTTATGGGGCTTGGATGATTAATAGTTGTGAAGTTCTTTGAATAGGATTTGACAAAAAAAATGGGCACTCAGTCAGTGAGTGCTTGTGCCTCTGAGTATATCCCACCTGTCCCCCTCCCTCTGGCCTACTCATTGGACCTTAACTCCTCTATGATGAATGCTAGGAATCTGCAGGACGGTGGACCTGAATCCTGGCTCAGCCTACATGGTTACTACATGACTTTCAGCAAGTGACAACCTCCTCCAGGAATCTGAGACAGTGAGGACTGTCTCACTGAGTACTAAGATAGTGTATGCCATGTGACTAGTACCTGCTAGGCAAGACACACTCAGGAAACATCAGTTTTTTACTAACCAGTTATTTTCCTGACTGTGCCCTCCTTGCAGCCCGGGATGCATCTTGCCGGCACATGTCTCTCTCCCTGCCCTGCACACACCTAACACATTGCTAGACACCTAGGAAATATGGACCATCTGATTCTCAGTTGCCTTGTGCCTGCTCTGAGCAAGTGGCTTCATCCAGTCCAGGATGTAAACAGTAGTACCGAATACCACTGTTTCCTTGCAGACCCTGTCATAGTGTCCCTATGTCCTGTGGAGGATCTTTACTCACCCCAACCCCCTCCACATTGTCTGAACTGTGTGTGCAGAGGATTCTGAATGGCCCCTTCTCTTGGAACACACTGTGCACAAATCTGTGCTTCCCCCTAGATACCTATATAATTTTTTTCAACGCAAACTGAACCGAGGATGAACATGTTTTCAGGACTCTCTGCAGAATTGCTGATGTTATTTTTGAGTCGTTGGCAGCAAGGACTCTGCCAAAATACTCAAGGTCAAGAGACCAG